ATCCTTGCGCAGGGGGCAGGCTAATCTTCTCTGTATCGTTCCAAAAACTTCCGATTTTAACGGATGTCCCGAAGGGACCCACTCAGTATTTCAACTGTCTCTTATACACATCTAGATGTGTATAAGAGACAGCCCCTCCGAATGTCCGACAAAAAAATTCGAGCCTTTGAAGAAAACTGCGGCTGCGCAGAATGTGAACTGCGCCGATGACCTGTGTGCCCGTACCGCACGATCATCATCTGATAGATCCAACTAGCCCTGATTTTTCAAGGGTATTTTTACTATTATTAATATTTTATAAAAATTTTGACCTTTTTTTTTTTTTTTTAAGTTTTTTTTTCCTGAAGCTCTTCTATTTTGATACTCTGAGATCTGACAGATCCAACCAGCTCTGTTTTTAAAAAAAGGTCATTCCACTTTTTCGTAGAGCTCTTTGGAAAAGAAGGGGCGAGGAGAGCGATGTCATAAAACACTTAGCTATGGAGGAAGAGCAGGGGGAGGAGAGACGGGAGTAGAGAAGGGTAGGCAATAACAAGAAAGAAGGCAAGATGGCTATGGCTATGGCTATGGCTATGGTGAAAGGAGAGGGGAGTGGGAGGAGGAGGGAAGCGGGAAAGCTGAGCGTTGTCATAAGGCAGTAAGGTATGGAGGAAGTGCATGGGAGAGTGAAGTAGGGAGCGGTCGGCATGGACAAAGCATTCGTACGGGAGGGACTGAGAGGAAGGAGAGAGGGATTACAAAATACCCACCAACCAACGGACAAAAGTGGAAAAAAAAAAGGACAGGTGGTGAGCGGCAAGCAACACACGGTACAGCAAGGAGAACTTTAGAAAGGGTGGTCGCGGGAAAATGAGAAAAAGCTTTACCCAAACGCGTCCATTGAGTCCCACAGCCATCTCAAATGAGACCTTTTGGCCCAAAGCTGCAAGCACGGGGCAAGGAGGCTTGCTCAGCAGACTGCCATGCCACAGGAGAAACACATACATAAAGACAGGGCTAGCGTGAGTAAAGAAGCCAATCACTATTCTCAAGGGTATAGCTATAACTTCAGGCGAGCTGTCGAGTCCTCATCCATCAGCAATGCATCCTGGCCAGACAGACTGTCGAGGAGACACCAGATCGATCGGCATATGACACGCACGTTCACACTCACAGAGAGAGAGAGAGAGAGAGAGAGCTGTCTCTTATACACATCTAGATGTGTATAAGAGACAGCCTTAGGTCCGTGCTCCTCTGCTCAGCATTCCTTCGCCACGTACCTAGACTCCTTATGCCCCCAGATACATTACGACTTATCGAACGTTTCGAAT